TTTTTGTTATTCGTTTATCGGAATAACAAAAACGAAATCCATGTTTGTGATAAAAAGCGCCAAAAAAATGAGTGGAAACAATTTGACAGAAAAGGGCGATTTTAACCGGCTTATTGGGCTCTGTTGTAGCTGTAACTTTGAGAGTGCATAGTTTATGAGGTGTTCCTTCACTATGTATCGAAAAGAGAGCAAAATAAAGTCAAAAGAAAGTGCATGGAGAGAAGTAGTACCGAAGTTACTTCAACGATTCCCGCAACAATGTTTCGTGGTCGACGGATGGCGGAGTGGATAGTGCGATGGGCTCTCGAAAAGGTGGTTTATGGATCGGATCCTCCTGGCGACAAACTTTTTGCATTTTTCGGATTTCCGTCTCCTTGTGTTCCTGCGTGCGTGATGATGTATATATACATGGATATATGCCATTTAAGACCTCATTCTATACACTCATAGTTCACGAGTCGACCCTACGTAACTATTGCGCTCTCGAAACATTACTGAGGAAACTCTTGCTGAAAGTTGGGCACTATTGAACTATTCCTACCCCAAAAACTCAAAAAATTTTTTCGCTGAAACGTTGCCTATAGATGTAATTCGATGCGCTGATCACGAATATCACATCCGTTTCGAGCGCTGGCGTCATTTGGCGCCATTATGCGCCAATTTGGCGCCCACCACTTTTTTCACCAAAGTCGATGAAAACTTGCATATAGGGGTTAACCGACATCCCGATTACGAATATCACACTGGTTTTGAGCGCTGGCGCCATTTGGCGCCATTATGCGTTAATATGGCGCCAAATTGGCGCGTAATGGCGCCAAATGGCGCCGGCGCCAAAAAAAATGTTGGATTCGTAATCAGGACCTCAATTAACCCCCATATGCGAGCAGGGCACGCCATTGCGTTGTGATCATTTCCTGAAAAATACGACCCCCCCCTAATTCCATCTTCAAGTACGACCCCCTCCCCATGTTACCTCTTCCCTAGATTTTTCCAACCTCCTACCACTTTGTCTATTTTTTCCCAAAAAATTTCTGGTTTTTTTACAAAATTTTGCTGTCGAGCGGGGGGGGGGTCGCAGTACCTACGTACGTCCCAAGCACGTCCAGCACTCTGGCGCTGGTGTAGCATACTGACAATACGTACGAGGAAGGGGCGATGATAGGAGCTACGATCACCGCCCACAAGGGCACCATGAATTTATAAACAAAAGGACTCACGACGTGACGATTAATAAACAGATGAAAGTACATTCCCGGACTTTTCTGATCGTAGGAGCACATTTGCTTGCAATTGGGAAGCCCTATCTAGAAGTTACACCTTTCCAAAACCTGCGTGAAAGCCCCATGCATGGCGCATTGCACAGGTGATGCCAATTGGCGCCCAATGGCCTATTTCCTGATACCCTTTGCGAAAACATGTGTTTCAGAAGCATACCAAAGTCTTCAAGCCAACTGGAGGTTTCATGGCCTCGGAGGGGTTGATTTTTCGTGTCGTGGGGGGTGAGCACGAAATGATCACAACGGGGAATTTTTTCGAATAGCAGGCCTAGGAAGAAAATTAAAGCCTTGCTGGAAAGTAGAAATCTTCAAGCTTCCGGCACAATTCTTTTTTTTACGAAAGGCCGTGTATGAAGCTTGCCATGGACGTCCAAAGCGTAGCGACTCGCGGTTCGCAAAAATGATCACAGACGGATCACAACGATGATCACAACGGGGAAAATCTCTGGAATCGGAACGTTTTTGAAATCGCTCAATTCAGGTGACAAGAGCCAACCTAGCTCTACTCATTCCCACTTACCCCTCTCCGATAGCTTCACTTTCAACGAAGTTATGGGTGTTCAAATGAGGGGTACTTTTCACGTGTTTGGCTTGAAATTGGCTCCAGGCCGTAAAATAGCGCGCACCAATGAGCTTGTATGAGCGCGCTGACCGCGAACAGCCAAAATTCAAAAGTAATCCATAGTTCCGGTTCCCAGCTGGCCTGGTGAGTTTTTTTTCTTATCCATTTGATTGTGAATTATTTTGATTGTTTGTTTTTGTTAAGTTTGATTTTGTTTTGTTGAGTTTGATTTTGTTGTGAGGAAATTGCTCAGGATTCAATTTCTACGGTTTCATAGGTAGCTTTTGCAATGGATTCTTTTCTAGATGCGGATTAGTGGATTGGGATTTATCTAGACCAGATGAGGAGGGTTGGTGGGCGAAGTGTCTTGAAGTTTTTTGTGAGGAAGGAGGAAAAAGTTTCAGCAATATTTTTTTTAGTTCTTGGCCTAGGAATAGTTCGATAGTGCCTAGTTCTATTTATTGTCATCTACATCGTCCCTTTTGAGCTTCTTTTCACTTGTACCGTGTATCACCGCTCTCTCCACTTCAACATGGGCCATGCGTTTACGACCCCCCCCCTCCATCGCGGGCAAATACGACCCCCCCGTTGTGATGATCACAAAGATGGCGTGCCCTGTATGCTAGTTTTCATCGACTTTGGTGAAAAAAGTGGTGGGCGCCAAATTGGCGCATAATGGCGCCAAATGACGCCAGCGCTCGAAACGAATGTGATATTCGTGATCAGGGCATCGAATTACATCTATAGGCAACGTTTCAGCGAAATTTTTTTTGAGTTTTTGGGGTAGGAATAGTTCAATAGTGCCGAAAGTTGGGCTAGGATACCCTACTCACGAGCACGACACTCATTTTTGACCACGGTGCAACCTATCGCCGATTTGCTTGTTGTTCACAACCAAACTGATGATGATGTGGATGAACTACTTTCTCAAGTTTATCAAAATACCCTTCAGTTGAAAAAAACTCATAATAGTGAAGTTTCTAGCAATTATTTAGATTTAACAATTAATATACTAACGGTAAAATTAGTACCAAGCTGTATAATAAAACGGATGATTTTACCTTCATGTTATCAGATTTCCGTATAGGGACACAAATATCTCTCTTATCAACAAATCCTCTGTTATATATACGGAAACTTTGAGGTTAGCGAACACTTGTTCGTTCTTCAACGTTTTCGTTAGCAAAATAACGGATATGGTCACCACTCTTTTGAAAAATGGCTACGAAGAAGATTTTATTATTACTAGCATTGTGAAATGTATTTACAAAAATAAATTTATAAGTTACAATACTCAATCGCAAATAACTATAGAAAGATAAATAGACTAGTCACAGGTTTACTCATTTGCAGCAGTGATCAACACTAATTCCCTTCTTTCCACTATACTTTAATTGATTTATTTCTTGTATACCTTCTCTTATACTCAACATTCTCTCAGTGGTTTTGCCGGTTTACTCCTTTTCCCTTCCTTCCACACGTATTTACAGCACACTTCGTGTTATATCACTCTTTCATTATTATGTATAATTTTCATTATTATGTGTAATTCATCATCATCTTGATGCATGAACTTTGCATGTTACCCCCCTTTTTTACAATCTCTCTCTTTTTGTCCTATTTCTCACACCTTCCCCTATGTAGTCTATGTCCTCTTGTCTTCAACCTATCGCACTGAGCTCGGGGGTTGGCTAGACAATGATGATTCGTCTGCGATACCGAGCGAAACGGATCATCTGTGTTGTGGAGTGTATTCCTTTCCCATGTTTGTTTTTCTTTGCTTCTAATTGCTGCAAGAGCATTCTTGCACTGAAATCGTTGTCAACCCGTACGCAGGGGCTGTTAAGCGCCATGCTGGCGTCAAATGGCCTCGGCGCATAAAATAATGTTAGTGTTGCGAATCGGGGTTGCTCCGCGAGCAGGACGGCGGGAGAGGGGAGTGTTTCGCAGCGCTGCATTGATTGATGGTCTCCAATCTCCCTTCGCCCTACGCCCCATCTCCCATGCGCGGCAAGTCCTGGACTACGGGTCGAACAGCCTGATCCTGCTTGCCTCTTTCTGCACTGTCGATTAAGATCAACCCGCCAAACTAATGCACCACAACAAGATGACTGGCAAGAATCGCAAGGCAAAACCTCCTCTTGTACTAGAACAGAGTTAGGGTTAGCAACTTTATGAGCTTTGGTAAAGTAACATGAACTACCTATCAGTAAAGAAGATAACTCAGTCAACAGTTCCGTCGAGGGGATCTACGAACCTTTAGAACGTAAAGCACTACGGAACTCACGGAGATGATTGATATCTCGCCGCCAACTGAGCGGATGTTGAAGTAGCCTTGAGCATATTCTCACTGATAGTTCTAAGGGCCCACGCCCTAGCAATAGCCGCCGCCGGTCGTGGGTCGACCAAGGGAGGATAGACGTCGTTGCTATTCTAGAAGAATAACAGACAATACGTAGCATCCGGCTACTGGCAAGGTGTGCCGCTGGATTAGGTAGAGTGTTAGTTCAGGGCCGACTGACGAATGGAATAGCTGAGTCGGGAGAAGGTTAGTAGTCGACCGCTCTGGAGTAGACGGAGAGGAGGAAGTGAAGGCTGCTGTGATCGATGCCACCGGGGTGGCAGCGGTTTCCCGCGCGATCATGCTGGAATAGGCAAAAACGTAGGTCACGGCGGCAGGCTACGGTAGGCGCCAGCACACCCGGGAGAAACCCTTGGGAGCGATCCTCGCGATTCGCGACACTCCCGCCCCAAAAGAAACTGCCTTGGGCGTAAGTCCACCAAGGATTGGCAGACGTAGTGCTTGGCAGCTGCTGAGAACCCGTGGTGTGGTTTGTTTTGAGAAGGGGTTGTGGGTCCCAGGTCCCGTTCGACGGAATTGACATAGTGACTCTCGTTATTATAACTGACTGCCGGATCGTGATTGTTAAAAGATGGCTATCTCTCTTTGACAGCGTTGAAAATTGGTGTTAGTATAACACAACAAGAGGCAATAAAACGGCGTGTGATGGTGTTAGTAACAATAACGAAAAGCGATAAAGATCGATGACTTAATCTCGTCGTCGTGAGGCTAAAGCTGCAGTCTTCTGCCTGGCGTTACGGATGGTAAGCTACATCTGATCTAAACCGACTGAAGTGAAAACTGCAAGAAACATATTGAACTAGTTAGGAATAAAACTTGTGAACTGCTTCGTTGTAGAATCGACGATTGGCCATAAAGGTCCGTCAACGAATTGAATGGGTTCACAAAGTGAGGTACTGTTTAGCTGTGCCTAAATTGTAAAGTTAAAACTACTCTCACAAACTGAATACCTCGATTGCTGGAGTAGTGAGAGGTTCTGGAATATGAGTTAGGATTGGGTGAGTTATTGTTTTGTGAGAAATACTGGATTAGATAAACTAATCGACTAAGCTACTCCGAATTGTTTGAAGTTGGCGATGAGTGTGCAAAGGAATGGAGTACCTTTTGGGATTTCTTTGCACCTTTCGCGCGTTTGCGTAAAGACTGGATGTGCTTCGGGCGGATTCGGGCTCCTGGAGGAGGAGGCCGGTAAGTTTGGACTTGTAGTATAGGATAAAACTCCGAAGCTTTCATGCATATGTCCGGCTCCACCCGGGGGTTTTTGACACAAAAGACCCTATGGTAGCCTTCCTCCCGGCACTGACTGCAAGGATCTTTTCGTATGCAGGTACCGTAATGTCGCTTTATACTACATACATACTACGCTTTATACTTTTGTTGCTGCACACTCCGAAGTCCTGTGCCAGTTCGGCTCTATGTGTGAGCTGTGTTACTCTCGGACAATCTGATGTACAGGGGGGGGGGGGCAAAAAAAGTCATTCCGGCCGAGTCACATATGAGCGAAGTTTTCGCAGCCCAGACAGAGGAAGTGGATATGAGTACCAGGGCGGAAGATACCCAAGATCTTCCTCTATAAGCAGGAGCCGGCTGCCGCCATTCACCTTCATGTACACCAAAATATGAAGTCATCTCCAGTCGCGGCCTGAGTGGAGAACGCCTTTGGAATTCACGTGGCCTCCAAACAGCTGAACTTCTTGAATGGAATCACCCATGGATAGCTACCTGGAGACCAGTACTCTTGATCTGCAAGACCTCAAACATCGAGCAGCTCCGGCAACGTCGCTACGGTCCAGGACATCATCTTCACCCCATTCACCAAGGCGCGGGTTGATGGTGTGGACCGGCCGTACCTGGAAATGGGAAAGACGATATTTATCTTTGGTAGACTCGACCTGAAAGTGAGCGCTGAGCGGTTACAGCACAGTAACTCGGAAGCAAGGATATTCTCCACATGGTGGTCGCCCGTACCCTTCTTCGGGAGACCTTGTGCTGCCCTACAGGTTTGGGTGCACATGGAATCGAAGGGTTTTGGAAAAACTCCCGCCTACTTCGAATGGAAGGGCGTTTCGTACCTGATGAAGATGTAATATTGAAATATGTCCCCTGACCTGAACCCACTCAATTACCTAGTTCGGGCGGAGCTCAACAGGGTGGTCTACAGTGGCGGAGAAATCAACGATCTCGCTCAACTCCGGTACCCACTCACTTTCGCGCGGCCGAATCTCTCGATGGCGCTCCTCCAGAAGGCTGTGGCGGAGTATCATTATAGTATTTAATGTGCTCTTTAATATGGTAGTAAAAATGTCCGATAAAAATTTAATAAAGTGTAACTTATAGCGCCTTGAAAGTCATGGAGGCAAAATGACTTTTTTTTGCCCCCCCCCCTGTATAGTGACCTCATTCTGAACAAAACACACACGAGTCATGCTGAAAGATGAGACTAACTGACTCGTGTAAAGGAGGATAGTCTCTCTGTGGTTTTGTCGTAGGTATTACCATCGACTGGAGTAGGTTGTCGCGAGATTCTGGAGTAACAGTCTCTAACGCATCGTTTGAATAGCGCAGTCGATTAGTTGTTTTCATATGATGTTTTGGTGGGTGTGATTGAACACCCTTAACTGGAGTATGATCGCAATATTTTCTTTTTCTCGAGCCGGGTGGTTGTCACGGCTCAGCTGTGGGATTGTGAGGGGGCAGTTTTCTGTTATTCCACCCATAAGTGCTTCTGAGTAGTGATCTCGCCACCAGCTGAGCGTGCTCATATATGAACTAGGGTATTCTGACCACGTCTGTGATGTGCCTGTTGCCATATTCAAGCCATATTGCTTGTTCATGGCATTTGTACTTATGCGCTTTGGACTCACTATGTGGATTACCTGGTAGTTTCCAGAATGCGTATCATGCGAGTCGCATGCGCTGTAATAGCTGATGCATGTTGTAGTATTTCTACCGCCATTGGCTGCGTAACATTGAACGATCTTAGCGTGGTTCTAAAATTTATCTGGTCATTCGACCATGAAAACGCTTTTGGAATAATTACTTCTTGAAGTTGATCCTTGTTGACTGTGACAGCTGTTATGCAGTGGGTGAGCTCTTGTATCCAGCTCATGAGGTGGGTGTATTGGCAGTCTAAAGGATGCCGATTGGAAAGGAAAACTGAAAGACTGTGAAAGGATCTTGTGCTATTTTCAATAACTTCAAGAAGTGTTTGTAGTAAGTGGACTACTTTTGCGGCCGTTTGGTAATCTGAAGGCCGAGTCGGTGTATATTCTTCTTCCGGGACCGTCAGATACGAATTTGGTCGCGTAATGTATTATTCGTTGTAATATAGTCGAATACTTTTCGGAGTGGATGAGCGGTCAGCTCCTCGACTGTGTATGGCACTTCTGTTGTACTATAGTTGGTCACCTGTGGACACTGTATTAGAGAAGTGGCACTTGTATTAGGTTTTAAGGGGCCACCTGTGTCTGAGCTCGTCGTTTCGCTATGGAGCTCTTGAAGAAATGTGAGCACCGCATTCATGCGGATGTTTCTTTTCTTTGCAATATCTTTTTTTGGACGGCTTTCCTTTCTTTTTTTTGTGACGCTGCAATCATTCCTGCTTTTAGCTGTAGTTTTGATTGCACGTTCTTGCTGAGGAGAGTTGGTACCTACTGGTAGCCAACTATCTGGCTCGTCTGACAGCTCCAATGGATTATCAGAATGTACTATCTCTGAAGTGTCCATAGGTTCAACACTTTGCTGGGATTCTTCAGCCGCGTTCGGCAACGGTCGGGTTTGCCTGTGTGTTATCTTCTTCATCAGGATGTTGTTCCTGTGTGAAGATGTTGTAGTATCTGTTATGTCTGTTAAAAGGATGACTGTTTCTTTTATCGAGTCCGACGGTGAACTCATTTGCTCAGCCCATGAACCAAGAGGTTCGGGAGGAGCAAATGGCGAGGACTCTGGAGTATTGGTCAATTTGTTTGTTAACAGAAGTGGTTCGTTGTCACTACGAACCACTGTAATATTTACAGAATTACTGAAAGAAGTTGATAAGTCACTACCTGAGTCTTCTGAGGGGTTTGTTTTACCTCTCTCTTCAGACTCCGATTCGCGGCCTTGGGCCACTTGTTGTTCATCGAGATCTTTATCAGCTTCTGACATGTTTGAAAATAAATAGCAGCTGAGAGCTGGCCTTCTGTAATTAATGGAGTAATGGTCGTAACCGTCATGAAAGTGTTATGTGACGAAAACACGCTATACTAAGCGCGAAAGCGATTCTCAAAAAGATTCCGCCTTTCGAAGAGAATTTTGAAGGTCAAAATTGAACTGGGCTACTTTGATAAACTAGTCAGTGTAGTTGATTGTTCCTTGAATTCTGTTTTTGTGAAAAGGCAACGCTGTAGTATGCCACGAAAGGGCTTTCGAGAGAGTCCCGAGAACGTTAAGTTTCCAGGAATTCCTCGAAGCCTTCTTGTCTTCTGGAGAACCTCGTGGGTCCTTCGGTACCTTTCAAATATTACCGAAGTGTGCAGTGCCAAGGAATGGTGGTTGATGCACCGAGTGAATTATGGCAATGAAATACACAATACTGTCTAATAGACGGGTTTGTGAGGTGAACGTAGATAGTTAGCGTAGTAAGTGCCCAACATGTATCTTCGCTGAGGCTAGTGTGTGATTGCGACTGTTGGTATCTGGAATAATTTGGCACACTTGACGCCGTTTGTCTACTACCCCATCTACTTGGAAGACATAGGCAGCTTTCTGTAAAGGCATGTAGTAGTGTGGGGCACTGTTACGCGTGTACTTCCTTGTAGTACTGTGTTATGAAGTAGCTGTATTAGGGATGTCGTTTTGTTGTGGCGTCTCTAGCCGACAAAAAAAGGGAACACTTGGTAAGGAACAGATGGACACGAAGGGGCACAACAAAATAAATGATTATTTACAGAAAAGTGTATTAGTGTTTTAGTGATGAGATCGTTGTGGCGAGATCGTGAAAGTTAGTTTTTACCGTATGAGATCTTATAAAAGATTTTACCCGTAAAGCGTGTTGGAACTAGTAAAAAGTTTTACTCGTAAAAGGTGTGAAAACCCGCGGGGACGATTGTACCCGAGACGCTGTATGGCCTTTACAGTTTGTAAGGGTGCTCACATGTGGAATATATTGGAACTGATAGCGTGGAATATAAGGAAACGTAGCGTATGGGAATGAACGTAAGTCTGAGATAGCCACTTTCAACCAAGATGAAATCTTGTTTGAATCATGGCTTTCAAACAGTTATGTACTATGAAATGCGGAGTGGATACATTTCATAGTACGTAACTGAGGAGTACATGTGCGAGAAGGCACTGTAGTAATCATTTATAGCTCCTTGACCATGCCTTTTTGAATCTAGTGTATTATCACAGGTATCGTTGTACTATTACGCCGTGCATGCGCGTGGTATTGCACGCTGTACTAGTACAACTACGACCCGTACTATAACAAGGTGTTGAATGTTGATTCAAAAAGGGTGTCCTTCCAGGAGTACTGATACTGCCTTTGACAAGTACTGTGAAGTATACTACTCTTGGAGGTATCAAAGAGAAGTAAATGAAAATGTAATAGTATAAACTCACGTCTATTGTCTTTGCAAGTGAGAAGTTGCCTTTCGGGGTAATCTTGGTTAGAAAAAATAGTGCGCTGGAGCAAAGCTGGTAGACGCTGTAGTAAATAGTTAAAACTGTAATATAGTGAAGTGGCGTGGAATAATAGTGTAGTAGACCACTGAAGCTGTAGTAGATAAAACAGTACCGAGTCAGCGCTGTAGTGCACTGAAGGGTGATTAATGCAGAGTGAGCGTTATGGTACGCTGAATAGTGAAGTTATGCGGAGTAAGCAATATAGTGCACCTAATAGTGAAGCAATGTAGAATGAACACTGTAGTACACTATGAAGACTGGAATAAATGATTAAAGTATACTAGGCGTAATTGAATATGGGTCCAATGGATTAGGAACTATGAGATGACGCCGCCAGATTGGCGATTGATGAGCCAAAATGAGAATTTACGATTTCGCGATTGGCGCCCATTTTGACTGCGTTGGTGTGTTAGCGGTCGATACGATCGATCATGTTCGCGTTGGAGCGCGTAATGTATTAGATTGAGGAAGTTGTTTGTATACGGGTGGATTATATTTGTGATGGAGCCGTTATCGATTGACCGCGTTTTGGATTATTAGTACAAGGCTGCTGTCGAGTTAGTCTAAGCCTTGGAATAAGCAATGATTTCGTTTTTGAAGTTAGTCATTATGTATGACTGAGCATAGTATCTGTCTTTGTTTGTACACTGCCTTCGAGGGGCATTCCTTCTGGTGAGGTCTGCCTTCGTTAATATGCCAACAGCAGGTCCACATTATTAACTATTTGATTAGTCCTATTCTCGGACTATTGTGGGCTAGTATATTGATATGGAATATCGTCCGCTAGTGCACTGATATGGAGTATGGTTGTCATTATATATTAGCAGCTTTGAGAGATCTTGCTGGAATAAAGGGTAAGTTTAGCCTGACTTTATGGAGCTAGTGTAGAATTATTTGAAGGTTGTCAACCGTGGGACGGTGTGTAAGAAGAGGTGCAAGATAGGAATTGAAGCTAATTAATTTGGTCAAAACAAGGTATGAGATAATGCGTGAGGTTGCACAGTCCCTATAGATAGGTGATGTAGTAATTTGAACTGACAAGGGAACCCCAACAGGTCGATCCGGCCATTTGCAATGAGATGTATATATGGACGTGTCTTGAGCCGCTGAATCCAAATCTACTCTCCGTTTTTGCGGAACGATTCTCTGAACGGAGTTACGGACCATCAAATCTTTGCTCGTTGTATAAGTTGAGAGGGATGGTTGCTCACGGCAGGTCGCCGATGGCCTAGTGGATAAGTGCACTGATTCAGGAACACGATGTCGCATGTTGGAATCCTTGACACTCCGAACATTTTTGCTTTTGTTCAGAACATTCCATATGAGTCCCCAGAACACTTCTGTTTGGCCAGTTGACCTGAATCTCTGATTATTTGACAATAGAAGCGATCATTGCTCCATCTGTTACACCTTCTGAAAACTTGAATGAGAACTCCAATGAGAATGACCGTTTCTAGAGCTCGCATCGAGGAATGGAGAAGGTCGCCACTACTACTAGGGAAGGTCGTCAGGTCCAAGTGGCCATTCGTAATGAAATATAGTTCACTAGACGTGGTTTTGGACGCTGATCTCGAATCTGCCTTCGAAATTTGCAGAACGATTCTCTGAACGGAGTTGCATTTAAATTCTGTGGGGAATGTCTCTTTTAAGTCTAGAATGCATTCAAACGTCAAATGGGTGCCATATTCGTGTTCAGGGAGCAAAATTACCCTTGGGGACAGGTTTCTAGCCAGATATGAGGTCTTGACCTATCTTCAAAAGTCCGGTAGCAGTTGATCCGATGGTGGTCACCACTAGTTCCAGGGCCAGTCTCTTGTCGATTGCCTGTCTTTGGCCGGAATTTTCTTCTATATACCAGGAAAACTGGAGCAGTAACAAAATGAATGCGTAAGAAGGTGCAAGACAAGGCGTTGTGCAGGCAAATGTATCTGCAGCTGAATAGGTGTGAACATCAGCTGAACTAACCCATGGATGGTTCAATTATGGAAATCAGGTCAAAATGCCAGATTTGGCTAGCAACTTGTGTATAAAGGCATTTTGACCCGCTGAACACGAATATGGCACTCGCTGAGCGTGAAAACGCCTGTATCGCGCACGACGGGCACCTGTACACCCCAGTGTTTTCCTGCACTAACAGCTTCTACAAGGTGCCTAGGCGCATTCATAAATGGACGCAAAGTTTTCTTCAGGCAAGATTAGGTGAGCACTGAAGTAGTAGTGAAAGCAAAACCACATTTTGCCACGTTTGCGCAGGAAGCAAAAAAGTGAAGCCCAGCAGGGATTCGATCCCACGACCTGTTGCGTGGTAAATGCGGTGGAAAAAGCCCCATAACTCCGTTCAGAGAATCGTTCCGCAAAAACGGAGGGTAGATTTGGATTCAGCGGCTCAAGACACGTCCACATGTGTACATCTCATTGCAAACGGCCGGGTCGACCTGTTGGGGTTCCCTTGTGAGAAGAAAAAGGGAAAAGGTCGATGTGTTAATCAAGTATTGTAAGGGTTCACTTAAAGACACTTACCGCGATAAAGTGGTCCTCAAATGAATTCGTGCTGTTTGGAACCCTCTACGCTGACGAAGATTATAGCACCTTCATCCCTCAATATGGCGCGATGAGGAAGTTATAGCGATTTCCACAAGGCTCGCTAGGCTCGCTGAGACGGTAGGTGGACGAGGCGTCCGGTCCCGAGCTGCTTCCGTCCCTTTAACGCCCGCGCGGCGCGTCTCGTGCGCGGCCCTTCTGGCACTTAGCCAAAGTTGGTTTATAGCTGTTTATAGCTGGCTGGAAGCGCAAATTCTTATAAGCATACATAGGATAAGAGAGAGAGGCAAGAAACTAAAGAAGGCAGTGAAGGAGGATTGAAGAAAAAGCACGGGGAGATGAGTATCACGTACGAAAGTCTGTTTCTCCCGCTTCTTGCTTGGCATAAAGCATCGCGCGTAGCAGGAGAGAATACAACAGAACAGCATGAATACTGAGAAGAGCTCCTCTGTTCTCCCCAGCTCCACTCTGACAAAAAACCCTGTAATTATCAGTGGAACACGTTTTATCGAGACATCGATGCCCGGAATATCTCGACACACGCAACTGATCTATTAAACGGGAGCTCTCCTCTCCGACAACCGTCGATTTAGGGGCGTAGCTGTTTTCCGCAGTTTCCTATTTCCTATTCGAATTCGAAAAATATCCTATTTCGAAAGTTATCTTTCGAAGCAGTTGAGGTGGTCTTGCTTTCTCATTTGCGTTGTTGAAGCTGTAACTCCCACGTGATAAGGCTCACGATGATGGAGAGCGCGACAGTTTTCAGCTCAGCAATGCGATTGAAAACAAGTCGGACAACTTGCCTGCCTCGCATAGTGTCTTATAGCCTTCTTTCTTTGGCTGGAGTATGGGTGTGTTACGATGTGAATGGATACATGAGCTACTATGTAAATGCACTGGAATAATAATTAATCTCGTTAGACAGGTTAACTGACCGGGGC